ACATACGATCAGCTTCAGAGCTATATACCCAAAGTTGGAGATCAAATCGCAGTTACTAACTTCTGCAGAAAGTACAGATTTACTGCTCCATCATGTTCTACGACAACTTTAAGCTTAATACAAAGATTGAAACGCGGAAACATTGGAGACGAACTAAACCTCTGTAAAGATGAGGCATCACCTGCGTCTAGTAAAACATGTCGTGGACGCCCTGTGCAGGATACCAGAAAGATTAAGCTGGGTTGGAAGTTCAACGGTAAGATGGTCAGAGAGATACGAGGTGGAGGTTGCCGAACTATTACCGCACACAAAACATCAACAAAGAAGGAACTGTTAGAAGAAGCTCTGAATCTGTTTTTCCCGAATGGAGTATCTAAATTTGGGTCGTTAAACAAATTCACTTATGACCTGCTAGACTATCAGGAAAACGCCATTGAGGAAAAACTTACAGTTGGTCATATGTACAATTCTTCAAAACTCACTAGCCCGCGGTTCTACCTTGTCACAAACAGTCTAAATTCCGACACAGCTGAAGCATCGACAGAAATGAATTGTATTGATCTTGATCATGATGCATCCCAAAGTATTCGTAAAAATGTACGTAAAAGAAGCAGAAGCAAAGCAATAGAAAACGAAGATGCCTGCTCTACGAGTAAATCTTCCAACATTTTGGACGAGTTCTTATCATTTGACCCCGAAACTGGCGGCGAACCGCAGTCACACTTTGGAACTATGGAGGAATTGGAACAACTGTTGCAGTCCAATCCGGAGAGCCCTTCCGACTCTGTGAGTTATACAGGGCGTGTTTCGACTTACGTCATTCATTTTAATGGTAGCACCTCAAAATAAGATTTTTGGTCAATATAGTTATGATTAAAAAGGAAATCCGGGGGCAAAAGGATGTACCTACCCACATTTTAGAACCAATGGAACGTTAATAATGTGGGGCCTGAAAGACGCTGGCGTTGCGCAATTTGCTGACCGGACGTTTCCACAAAAATTTGCTTATTTTGATTTGCATTATATGTCACTCAAATGAATGACGTACCTTGAGTTGGCAAACACTCTGTATAGTATAAGTAACTTATGTTCGCATACTAGGTTTTAATCTCAAAACTTTTAGGTACAGGACGCTACAAAAGTTCTTGTAGATGTAGATGAGCTGCTTTTTCAAAAAGACTTCGAAACAGCGATCAATAACAGCTTAGGAATTCATCAAGTCGAGCAAAGACCCATGTGGACCGGAACAGAAAATACATGCTCATCTCTGAAAGAAATACTCATGGAACTAAATAGCAAAATTAATACGGAGAAAATTTCGAAGTTCAACATTTACCGAGCTGATATATTTAATTGCTGCAATAGAGCACTGCGCAGAAAAATGTTTTCCCCTTTTAATAAAATAAGTGTATTGTTTAGCGATATTGAAGGAAACAGCGAAGGAGCAGTAGATGCAGGAGGGCCGATGCGTGAGATGTTCCGTCTTGTAATCGGCTACATCCAGAATAGCAGGATGTTTTTTGGTGAAGAAAAGAAATATTTAACGTTAGATGGGGAAGCTCTACAGAAAGAACACTATTTCGAAGTTGGACGATTACTTGCTTTAACATTAATTCATGGAGGACCGACTCCATCTTTTTCCTCAAAAAGTCTTTATTCTGCTGTGGTCGGTGATGGATTTTCAGAGACTGATATCACATTAAATGACGTCGAAAGTGAAATTCGAGAGAAGATTTTAAAAGTGGATGTAATCAATGACTTCCTGGCATTACAAAAATACGTAGACGATGAAGCGGTTTTTGCTATCGCTGGTTGGCCAATCATAAGGAAAATGGAGGACAAATTAGCGATGTTGAAAGGTAAGAACGTTTCATTTTTGGTATCTACGTATATCTATTATTTATTTAATAGAAATACCTGTAAATAAGGCCACTAACTTCATGAAGGAAATTAAGCTGTTCTCTACCAATACCCAGATGCCTAAACTGAATTTTTCGAAGGAGATTATTGCCTATGCCTTGTCAAATAATAGTTATTTATGCATCAAGGTTCACTAAGAAAAGGCGGTTTAACTTTAGTAGTTTACTAACTTTTTCTCCATTTTATTAAGGATCCTCAGGTCCTTTATAGTTTTGTATATTTTTCCGTCCTTTTGTCCGCACGTTTGCCTGTGTTTGCCACAACCGTTAGTTCTGGCGAGCACATGCATTTGGACCAAAACATGTCAAAGTCGTTATTCATGCACCAAGGTTATTGAGAAAAGGTTCAAGAGCATTATTTTGATGCCCAAAACATGAACTTTAATAATTTTTGGCGACCACATGTTTTTTGACGAAAACGTCAAAATCGTTATTCGTGCACCAAGACCGTTGGGAAAAAATTAGGGGCATTATTTCAATCCCCAAGAGACTAATTATATATATTTTGATCATAACATCTCAAAATCGTTATTTTGATGCTAAAGACATGAATTTGATGCATTTTTGGGGACCACATGTATTCCAAATTTTAAATCCTTTATAGACTATATAGATCGAAATTGCAAGGTTGAAATAAATGATCGTTGAGTAAATGACTGTAATACTGAGGATCCTTCGATATGCCGTTGTATTGGTTTATTTTGCTCAGGTATCAATAAAATGTTGTAGCTATGCACCGCGGATGTGACTTTTATCTCCACCCAATGGAAGGTTAAACACGGTGTATAACCGTGGTGGATAGGCACACCATTTTATGGATAAACAAAATTAAATATATAAACTTTTAATTTTCTTCCAACAATTAATATATTATAGTCCTTAGTTCCACATACAATTTGACGGCCTCATATGGATTGGTTACGATTCCGAGCAAATTATTTTCAGCGATTAGACATCTACACAATTCCATTACGGTTTCTGCGCAGGGGTGATTGTAAAATATACACTCTTGGTCCAAACATCGGATAACTTTTTCCGCTATGATTATTGACTGGTCTTCTACTCCAAATAAAAAAGGGGCTTCATACATAATCATGGGCTTACCAAGATACAATTTATTTCTCCTTGTCCCACGAATTCGGTGCGCATTCCACACTTTAACCACAGAATCCAGATCATCCTATAACAAATGTGTATGGATATAATTATAGATATACTGGGTGATTACTGGGAAACGCATGTTTTTCAACTTGGGCAATTCAGAACAAAAAATGTATTTATGAGTGGAAAAACAGTGTACACAATATGCAATTTCAAAATAAAGTAGGTATTTATATAGACTTACCTGTATAATTTTTAGGAAACAAAACTGTATAAGGGATTTATCAAGATGAGAACCGTTGAACATACGCTGCTCATCTAATATTTCAAACAGATTAATCCAAAATTGTGCATTTTGTTTTCTGAGATTGGACCACCAACATTCGATGCGCTGATTAGCAGTCTTTTCCCGTACATGAAAGGCGGTTTTAGAATTGTAGGCTCACCAAACACGTGCCGAAGAGCTATTTGGATAGATTCAACAGTGCCATTCTCAGTGCCCATATCAGCCCGAACTGTTTGTGGACTCAATCCTAAACGTCTCACTGCAGATATATAGTAGCCAGCAATCACCTTGGGATCACTGGAGGTGCGCCCTGCATGGAGCCAGATTATATAACGTGAAAAACCGTCAATTGCTCCATTTATGCAAATACCATAGCGCTTCAACTTGTCATATGAATCTATATGCCACCCATCGTTAGGCCCTGAATTTATGTAGCGTCTCCTCCGTAAACGTTTCCTTCGACGCATTTCCACTCCTTCTCGATCAAGTAACAACAATGCCTCCCTCACTGCGTGTCGAGTTACTACCAACCCATGCTGAATACATTTTAGATGCATCCATCGGTATCCATGGACCTGTCCGGACTTATCTAGCTGATCCTTAATAAAACTTAGCACATATCCAAACTCAGTATTATTCTTTCTTCTGTGTAATTGAAGTTTATGAAGTAAGTATACGTTTCAAGGTTCGAGGATGTAACACTGTCTTATGTACTATTTCTAGCATGGCAATAATCTCCTTTTGCTGGAGTCCGAGAAAAAAATAATTTTCAACTAACTTATTCCTACGGTCCATATCCATACCTATGCATACATCAAACAGAGGTCTCGTATCATTTATATACCATTACAAACCATTAGTAGGTATCTACATTTGAAATTCAAAATTCCAATACTCTCTTTCCTCTACGTTTATAACAAAAGTCGCAGGTAAAGTCTTCCGCCGTATCCCAACCGCTACATTCCTGGTGCGCCCATCTTCCACATACCACGCATCTGAACCAGAGCTCCTGGTTACGCCCAAATTCTCCACAAATTAAACACTCATTTTCATCATACATATTTTCATCGTCAAGCTCCACATCATCATCAACAACGTCTAACATATCAGTGTCCGACTTTTCAGTCTCGGTATCACTTTCCATCACTTTTTTAGATCTTTGTGTAACTTTCTTTGGCTTAAGCTTGCTTGCTTCTTTTTTTCCAGCTGCTTTTGCTGCTTTTGATTCTCTCTTTTTTTGATCTTCAAGGAGTTGAACCTTTATAGGGGTACTTGTTAGAATTTGCGAATGCTGTATTTTAGGACCACCTTTTTTAATATTTCTACGGACTTTTTTTGGAATAGGTGCTATATTTTCAATGCTCACAAATGCTGCACTTAGGTTTTTTTCACAATTTGTACCTGCCCAGATAGCACAAAGTGGTCCCATGGACTTACTATGGACGCCCGTGTATGTACGAATGGACATCCATTTTTGGTCCATTTGTGTACAATGGACATACAGTGGGCGTCCTGTCAGTGTACATTTGTCACAAAGGTGGATGCTCATAAGCATCCACAGATGCGAATCCATTGGAGGTCCACTATTGGGCGTCCATAAAGTAGCCAGAAATAGCCATTTGGATTAATTTGGTTTAATACTCAACAAAACATACAATATAAAAATACATATTTTAGAACAAAACATTGTCTCAAAACTTTTAAGTATAAAAAAACATACAATAAAAAGATACATATTTTAAACAAAAATCCTATCTAACAATACAAGTATAAAAAAGTATAAAAAGCTTAAATCGTTTACATACATTTTTCTTTTTTTGACCTTTCCATGCATCGACGTAGCCATTTAGCGATGTTCTGCTCAGCTTCTTGTTCGGTGCAACACGGAAAAATGTTCATAGCCACTTCTAAAAATAATTGGTTAAGAAAGAAGCATAATACGAGTATTTTGTATACTTTTGAGCAGTTCGTTTAGTTGTAAAGCATTAATTAAACTTCTGCTTCTTTTGGCGGCCATAATAGCTGTACTGTGAAGCAAATTTGTTTGTGATTAGCTTTTGTGTCGATCTATAAATTAAATCGTACACAGTTTTTCCTCCGGATGATGCAATTTCTTTTACCTAAAAAAACTGAGTAAAACATCTGATCCCAATGCTGGAATTGACTTACAGATCTATTCATTGCAACGTCTGAATGTAAGTAGTCCTCCAATTTTTTTAACTCATCGGCGCAATTCCACGTCCACCGAGTGTATGTATACTATTTTATTCACAATCTACCTTGTAATATAACAAATTCCATATTTAATTGGATTAGGATACACTTCACTTCTTCCATAATTTTAATGGTAGGCTTTGCATATAAAAAATTGAAAAACTGTTGACATTTTCAGTTCCCTTTTGTGCAGGCGGTGCATTATTTTAAATAAAAATGTCATCAGATAGTGATTGTAGTGTTTTGGAAAGCACCCCACCTGAACTTAGAGCGGCTGCCGCAAAATTGTCAAGTAATTTGTTGCCGATAAAGAGTAAGTCCCGATATGAAAAAACATATGTCAGTTACAAGAATTGGTGCGCTCAAAAAGGAGCAAAGAATTTTTATTCCGAAAACGTGGTATTGGCTTACTTTAGTGAAGTTGGGGAAAGTAAAAAACCTAGTACATTATGGTCAACATATTCCATATTGAAAAGTACTCTTAACATTAAACATCAAGTTGACATCTCGAAGTTCGCTAAATTGATAGCATACTTGAAAAGGAAAAATGTTGGCTATGTCCCAAAAAAGTCATGTGTTTTTACAAAACAAAATATCGATGACTTTTTAAAAAATGCTGCAAATGACTTCCCAGAAGGTAAGCATAACTGACGGTTAATATCTTGCATTTTTACTTCTATGCGTATAATATTTTAGGTTGCATTAATCATTGGCGTTTCTGGTGCCTGTAGAAGCGATGAATTGTTTAAGCTGAAAATATCCGATATTAGCATTTCTGATAAGATCGTTGTTGCCATACCTGATACTAAAACATACAAATCTCGAGCATTTGTAATCATGAATGCTAGTTGGATCGACATTGTTAAACAATATACAGGGTGACAATTTGAAAACTTACCACCCCCCATATCTTAGTAAATAAACGAGATATTTAAAAAAATCAAAATCCGTTTCGGTAATTCGGAGGGGGAATCACAATGACATAGTTGGCGACGCACCCCCTCCAACCCCCTGCGCCCCAGCCACCCCAACTTTTAAATCTTAAATAGTGACCCCCCATGTGTGATACGTCGTTGGAAAGCTCTGAAAAAATGCTTTCCAACCATACCAAATAGCATTACATTTAGGTTAGTAATTATCGTGCAAATAAAAAAATAAGCTAATATGATACATTTGAAATCTGTCGTATTTAAAACGCAACCGGCGAACATTGACGAACTAAGACAGAAAATAATTCAAGAATGTCGAAATATTGCAAAACCAACATTGGAAAGGTTCGACAAGAGTTTGAGAATAGATTATAACTGGCGATCAAAAATGAGTTGCTGTCGAGTCGGCTTTGGAAGTTCAAGTTAAATACGATTTTCCATGTTTATTTTTTGATTTGCACGATAATTACTAACCTAAATGTAATGCTATTTGGTATGGTTGGAAAGCATTTTTTCAGAGCTTTCCAACGACGTATCACACATGGGGGGTCACTGTTTAAGATTTAAAAGTTGGGGTGGCTGGGGCGCAGGGGGTTGGAGGGGGTGCGTCGCCAACTATGTCATTGTGATTCCCCCTCCGAATTACCGAAACGGATTTTGATTTTTTTAAATATCTCGTTTATTTACTAAGATATGGGGGGTGGTAAGTTTTCAAATTGTCACCCTGTATAAATTTAAGGAAACACGTGAATAGTGAAAGGCTTTTCTTTCAAGTACGGCTTGGGAAAGTAGTCAATCAATCCTATGGCCATAACTCAATAGCCAAATTTCCCCAATTAATTGCTACCTATTTGCAATTGGAAGATCCAAAGGGTTTCACTGGACACTGTTTTCGCAGAACAGCTGCAACCTTGTTGGCTAATTCTGGAGGAGATGTTCTGCAACTAAAGAGATTGGGCGGATGGAAATCAAGTACTGTGGCTGAAGGTTATGTTGACAGCTCTTTAGATGGTCAAGTGAAAATCGCTGATATGTTGTCCACCAACAATTCGATTCCAATTCCTTGCAACAGCACTTCATACTCCCATATTGATCCATCAACTGCATCAGAAAACACAGAAGAAAACGTTTTAACTGTAAATGCTACAAATCCAGTTACAATGTTAACAAACACTAAAAGTCCTAAGAAAACTGTGTCTTACGCTTCAAATCAAGAATTTCAATTTTCTAATCAGAAATTGCAGCAAGGTTTGTCCTTAAATATTAGAGGCTATGATGATCAGGCAACATTTAATTTTCATTTTCATTACTCTAATTCCACCAACGACAATGAAAAACATTGAGCGAATTAGTTGCTAAACTTGAATTTATGCGGTTCAGTAAAATGTGTATAGTTATTATCAAAATAAAAAGTAGTTTGTTGTCGTTTTATTTAAATTGTCATCCAAATAAACGCAGAAGTACGAATGGAGACTACCTCAAGAGCAATCTATTTGAAAATCAATCGCAATCACAAAACACCAGCGTGAGCTTAATACTGAAATCAAGTCGGCATTGGCGTGCAGGTTGGGAAGTACCGTCAACCGGGGTTATATCGGATCGCCGGGGTTATATCGGACGACATGGTACGAATTCAATTCGCGCGCGCTACACCTGTTAGTTGACAGTTAGTTCGATGCAGAAAAATATCCCTAGATTGCCACTTAACCTCCGAATGTGACAAATGTCACAGAATAAGACCTTCACAGAACAGAAACATAAATGGCGCTAAATTGTCACTGATTACAGCGTTTCCCGTGGTTGTACGGAGAACTATTTATCGCAGACTCAAATATTTTTTTGCAAAACCTGTAATTTTGCTCGTTACAGGAAATATTTTTACCGTCGATTTTATACGTACCTTAGACCATATAGTACATGGACTGCTAATTGTAACTAAAATATGGTCAAGGACACCGCCTGGGTATGTGAGTTTCAGGGTAAACGAGTCTGTCCGAAGTTGTCCGATTAGACACGATTTGAGACTGTCAACCTATAAATTAACAAACGTCAATTAATTAATCGCCTAGATATCCCAAAAAAAGCAGACTTATTCTTATTTGAGGACGTATAGTAAATAATGAAGAGTATTTAAAGCTTCCCGTACTACGCGGTTACTATAAAGCTGCTCTTTAAGCGATCCTAGTGGTGTTTACACGACTTTAGTTTACCCTGAGATTCACATACCCACGACTACAGTGCCCTCTATTCGTGACCATCCATTTTGTATTGAAAGCATAGGGCGAATAGCAGTCCATGTACTATATGGTCTAAGATACGTACACATGGTTTTACACGTCAATTTTGACTTTTGAAAGATTTAAAATATGAACAAGTTATGTGACCGTAAAAAGTGTTGTGTGGCGGATTGTAACAATAAAATATCAAAAAGGCATCGTTTCCCACATTTTGAAACAGATTGTTTTGTGCTTGAAACGCGAAGAGGGTTGAAATGTGCTGTTATTTCTTTTCTATTTATACAAGGTAAGTAACGGGTACAAATTGACGCAGAATTATTACCAACTGTACCTATAGGCGCAAAAGGGTGTAGACTTGAGTTTTATATTTATATAGATGTAGATACTTATATTGTAATTCGTTTTAGATAATTCAACAACTTCCACCCTCGCTTCTCAAGTATAACCAGTAAGCACCAGGATCAAGTTAACATTTGTTGTCAAAAACTTGTGTGACAATTTGCTGAAACGGTTTGATCACCTCTTGGAACAAAAAATTTAGTTCTAAAGATATTTTTTAACAAAAATTTGTAGTCCAAACAGCAATTCAAACCAAATATTTCGAAGGACAACTCGTTACGTAAGGATCTTTTTGCAAAGTGTCAACTTCTACAAAGCGTAAGTTGCACTCACTTCTGAGTTTTATGTGTAATTTGTAAACATGTAATTTAAGATGTCTGTGTTAAATAATGTAATGTGATTGTATCTAAATACACTTGCAATTTAACAACGGTGTATTCTTTATCGATATTTGTGATTTAGATCGAATTGGGGAAATTACTTCATGGATTTAGAAGCTGGTCACCAGATGGCGCTACTCTGATTTGATGCTTTAGTTCACAGTACACCCACCAGGGTCCGCCAAAATACCATACAAATTTGTAACATTGCTGTTTCTATTCTGAGAAGGCCGTATTCTGTGACAAATGTTTCCCGCTCGATTGACATTCAAGGTAAGCTCACAAAAAATTAAATTCAAGTATCACATTTTTCACTAAAATTGAGTCAGTAAAATAGTGTCCTCTGGACCGCCAATCCTATGGGTCATAGCTACTTGTTGTAATGGGATTAATATTTGTTTACAGTCTTATGAAAATTCCCATAACCTCAAAATGACCTTAACGTTTTTCCTTTTCGCATAAAATCGAAATGAATCGAAAACGGTTTTTTCAGGGGTAATATCGGACATGCCGCGTAAGCACGTTCATAAGCTCGGAACGCCCTATCGGCGGAACTATTTGCAAGACAATATGGAAAAAGCGTTGTTGGCTGTGGTAAATCATCACTACTCATTTAAGCAGGCAGCGGATATGTATGCAAATACAACAGATATATACAGGGGAGAACATTCTGATAAACTTGGGAGGCCCCCTGTTCTGTCTGTGATTGAAGAACGATGGTTAGTCGATGCCATGACAACCGCAGGAAAATTCGGTTATCCTTTTGAGAAGACAATAAAAGACTTCGTTAGCAATTATTTAAACAATAAGGGCGTAGCTATACCATTCTTTGACGACAATAGACCTGGTGATGACTGGATTGAGCACTTTATGGGGCGGCACAACGAACTTTCACTGCGCAATTGCGAAAACATTAAAAGAGTGAAAGCGGAGGTGACAGAAAATACCATAAACGCATATTTTGAGCACTTGAGCGAGACAGTCGAGGGAGTACCGCCCGAAAATATAGTTAATATGGACGAAACCAATCTAACAGATGATCCAGGCAAAAAGCTAGTTTTTATTCCTCGTGGGGAAAAGCACGCACGAAGAATAATGGATTTTTCTAAAATGTCAACGTCTGTCATGTTCGCTGCGGCTGGAGATGGAACTTGTTTACCTCCATATGTTGTATACAAGAGTATAAACCTCTATCCCGAATGGCTAGAAGGTGGTCCTGAAAACACGCAATACAACAGAACACAAAGTGGGTGGTTTGATACAGCATGTTTTGAGGACTGGTTTTTCAAAACCGCACTTCCCTATCTGCGACGAAAGGAGGGCAAGAAAGTCCTGATTTGCGACAACCTAGCAAGCCATCTTTCCTACAGGATCATCAAAAGTTGTGGAGAAAACGACATTCACTTTGTATTCTTGCCAAAGAATTCCACCCACTTATGCCAGCCTCTTGACGTTGCAGTATTTGGACCACTCAAACGGGTGTGGCGAGAAGTTCTGACAGAATGGAAACGCAATCATAAGGGAGTCGTCCCGAAATCCGTCTTTCCTTCACTGTTGAAGAAACTTCTAGAAAAATCGAAGAGCTCTATGCCGAATAATATAATGTCTGGTTTCCGAGCGACGGGCATAATCCCATTCGATCCCGAACAAGTTATGAAGAGGGTTCGGAGACGACCAGAAGGTGGCACACAAGATGAAATGAGAGCGTCGTTCGCAGAAGTGATGAGCACGATTGTTGCTCCTTTGGAGCAAACCACGACAAGACCCAAGCGCAAGTCGAAGATTAACGTGCCAGCTGGCAAATCTGTAGGTCTTGAAGGCTTAAGCGAATTAAATGGTAGTAGTACACCAAATGCATTTACCTCTCAAGAAGATGTCAATAATAATAACACTGGAAACATTCCTATATGTCATGAAAATGCCAATAGTGACATTTCAGACCATGTGATCTCAACAAAAAGTGATAGTAGTAACTGTGAGGCTGATGACAATACTGATGAAGAAGATTATACGTCGGAAGTACCGAACGTTGAACTTCCAATCACCTGTGAGACATTACAAGAAGGCTGTTTTGCTTTAATTAGATTTTTATACAATGAAGGGACGAAGAAAGAAACGACCAAAGAATTCGTCGCACAAATTGAAAAAATTACAAAAAGTTATATTGAAGTTAATTGCCTTAGATTCTACAAAACACATAAAGATGCCTTTGTTTTTCCCGACGTTGAAGACAAGAGTAAAATCAAACTTCAACAAATCCGCAGTATCTTAAGTGCACCTAAAATCCATCGCGGCGTTCATGTGTTTGAAGGTCTGGAGTTATAGAGTTAAGAGAGTAAATAGTGTAGAATGTTATTTTCCTTTTATATTGTTGTTCTATATTTTTGTTTTCATTTGAAGTTCATTTTATACATTCCTTTTATAAATAACTAGTGAGCCCGTGGGCTACGCCCCACGTGGCGTAGCAAGGGTCCAAGGGAAAATAGGGAAATCTTTTGTTTGACACATTACACGGCCTCATTGAAAAGTGTATCACTTCCTCTGTCGTTCTGAAGGTTGATGGCGGTGGGGTTCATATTGACATAAGATGTGGGCTTAAAAACACCAACATCGACATGTCAAAAACATGAAATAATACACATTAGACTATTATTCTTTTTGCTTTATTGCAACTAAATTGAGAACGGCATACAATTAACATTAATACACAATAGTTGTATTCCATTGTTTGCTTTATTGCAACGCTCTTTCATAAACAATATTTTTTTTTGTTTTGGCATGTGTGAAGATGAATAATGAAGACGGTTTACCAACACGTGAGCATCCAACGTATAATTGTCCATGTGAGAAACATGGTGGTTCAAGATGTAATCCACATACTTGAAGCGATTGCCCTTGAGATTTATTGATGGTCATAGCAAATGCCAGTCGGACGGGAAATTGTATTCGCTTAAATTCGAAAGGCATATCTGATGGAATAATTGGTATACGTGGAATCAATACGTTTTCGCCTTTGTATTTGCCAGATAATATAGTTGCTTCAATGATGTTGTTCAGCAATTGTTTTACAGCCAGTCTTGTTCCATTACAAAGCCTTGGTTGATGTAAATTGCGTAACAGAATGATTGGCACACCAATTTTTAATTGCAGAATATGAGGAGGAGTTCCAGGTAAATCAAGTGAATTTAAAAATTCTATTGGATAATTTACAGCTTCATCTGGATCCATAACGCAATCAATAGATTTGTAGATGTTGGTTTGGCCACTAAGCTTGTTTTGAATCTCAATATTAATATCACTTACGTCTTTGTTTTTAGCTGCCAATATAGCGCGATCGCTTAACCATTGATGATTTGTATAATTATCTACAATGTTGGGATACACACTTGCAATTAACTCCTCTTGTGATTCAGTAGTAACACAAAAATCTGCAGGCAATGTTATTAATCCTGTTGTATTGTCCGTAGCACATTTTCCATTTCCAACGTCCAATAATTGGCTTGCAAATGAATTGGCTGATGCATCATTTTGTAACTGTACGCGCATATTTACAGTAAGCGATATAGTCCAGTCAATAGAGACCTAAATAGGGGAGTTTAGTCAAAAATTTGGTGTCCAAGAGGTTATGACTGATTCTTATGTATTTTGTGGCGTAGATTCCGAATTTTTAATCTCCCACCAACCTTAGGGGGTGGGAACCCCCCCAAAAATGCAAAAAACCCCAAAATTTCGGTCCAAAATTCAGAATTTTGGAAAAATCTCGCTAAATTTAGATTTTTGGCCCAAAGTACCTTAGTTCAAAATTAAAGTACACAAAATTTTCAGGAAAAGTGCTATATACACTTTTGGTCTAGGACCAACGGGGGCGGAGATAAGAGGGGGTCAAAAAAGGGTACTTTGTTGGAAAACGTGAAAAAAACTGAATTTCTCTGAATAACTCGCTAAATGTTGGTTTTAGAGAAAAAACTCAAAGGACCAAAATGAAAGTAGACGAAAAATTACTTCGGAAAGTGCACGTGTGCGGAGCCGATGAAGGGGGGGAGGAGGGGGAGGGGGCGAGCGCAAAACCTCTCTTCCTGGCGCCGCGCGACGGCACTGGCATAAGGCGCTATACGCGCAGTTTCGGGTATCTCTGGCGGCCTCGGTCCCGGTCATAACGGATGCTTCTTTGTCCTTATTTTAGAAAGGGGCCTCTGGCTTCCCCCTCCCTCTTGTTGGTCGTTTGTATGCTTTTTGTGTCCTCTGGAAACCAGTTCAAGATCCTTCTTCAGTGCGTCTGTGTTGTCGCGTCGTGCGCATCACGCTATATTGCTCCGTGCTTATTTACAATTTTTCGCCTGAGCCAGTAGAGGTTGAGTTTTTATTTAAAGATGGCCTAAAAAAGTGCGAAAGTAACGTTTCTTGCTGTCCGCCATGCAAATCAGAATTTCAGACAAATACTACAATCTCCCCCAAAAATTGTAACTCGAGCACTAAATAAACAAGTATAAATTGTGCACAACTCCTGTGCAGATAAAGCGCATTTTTTTTAACCGAAATAGCTTTTGTATGGACATCACCAATGGATATATTTCTTGCAGACGTTTCAATCGCCCTTTGATAGTACCCTCTTCCGACAATCCGTTCTTGAGGTATAAGGTAATATACCCGATCACGATAAGAGGTCGAGGAGGAGGGCTATGGTTGGTAGAAATTAATTCCTTGCGTTGAGACCTTTCATTAGAGTACCATGAAGGATAAAACTAGTTTCACTCTCTCCCCTCGAGAGTATATGCAAGCGAACAAACTCAAAACGCACAGGCGCGCGAGCACGATATTACAGAAAATTTCGGTAAAAACAACAAACTTTTAACCGAAAAATAGTAAATAAGCAGGGAGCAATATAGCGTGATGCGCACGACGCGACTACAAAGACGCACTGAAGAGGGATCTTGAACTGGTTTCCAGAGGACACAAAAAGCATACAAACGACCAACAAGAGGGAGGGGGAAGCCAGAGGCCCCTTTCTAAAATAAGGACAAAGAAGCATCCGTTATGACCGGGACCGAGGCCGCCAGAGATACCCGAAACTGCGCGTATAGCGCCTTATGCCAGTGCCGTCGCGCGGCGCCAGGAAGAGAGGTTTTGCGCTCGCCCCCTCCCCCTCCTCCCCCCCTTCATCGGCTCCGCACACGTGCACTTTCCGAAGTAATTTTTCGTCTACTTTCATTTTGGTCCTTTGAGTTTTTTCTCTAAAACCAACATTTAGCGAGTTATTCAGAGAAATTCAGTTTTTTTCACGTTTTCCAACAAAGTACCCTTTTTTGACCCCCCTCTTATCTCCGCCCCCGTTGGTCCTAGACCAAAAGTGTATATATCACTTTTCCTGCAAATTTTGTGTACTTTAATTTTGAACTAAGGTACTTTGGGCCAAAAATCTAAATTTAGCGAGATTTTTCCAAAATTCTGAATTTTGGGCCGAAATTTTGGGGTTTTTTGCATTTTTGGGGGGGTTCCCACCCCCTAAGGTTGGTGGGAGATTAAAAATTCGGAATCTACGCCAAAAAATACATAAGAATCAGTCATAACCTCTTGGACACCAAATTTTTGACTAAACTTTTCTCTATTGACTGGACTAATAGTTTGTGAAACAATCGCCACAAATGAGATGATTTTAAACATGCGTTTAATTGATCTGCTGGAGTTGATCGTGCGATGACTGGTAAAGTTTGTCTAAAATCACCTGCTAATAATATAATCGCATTTCCAAATGGCTGTTGGTTGGTGCGCAAATCTCGCAAGGTTCGATCCAGTGCCTCTAAAGACTTTTTGTGTGCCATTGTGCATTCATCCCATATAATAATCTTGCATTGTTGAAGAACCTTTGCCATTGCGGATGTTTTCGAAATATTACATGTTGGTGTTTCTGTTAGTTGCATGTTTAATGGCAATTTTAATGCAGAATGTGCCGTTCTTCCACCATCTAACAAAGTGGCTGCAATTCCAGAAGACGCTATTGCCAACGCGATATTGCCGTTTGATCGTACTGTGGCCAAAATCAACGCAATTAAATATGTTTTTCCAGTACCTCCGGGAGCATCTAGGAAATACAATTCACCGTTGTTCTCATTGATGGCTTGCATAATAGTGTTGTAGACGTGCGTTTGCTGCTGATTCATGTTTGTTATGTTGTCTTGAACAAATGTATGTAATGCATTGGTATCGTACTGTGTTTCACGTTGTATTTCACGATTGCAAACTTCTGTAATGGTTCGATTTGGTGATGGCAGTCCCAATTGATTAAGGAGTTTATTCGCCATCATCAAACACATGTCTTCAATGTAAATTAATGATTGATTATACATCTCCGCAGTGTATTGTAATTCTGTGTGTTCACTTGCATTACGTGCTTGATGTAAAATGTCATCTGTCATGGCGTCTTTATGTTGTTCCCACAGTTGTACAGGTCTTGATGGAAAGCATGTTGATATTATAATTGCGAATAATGCTGTAAGTGATGCTTCGTGAAGGGAATTGTCCCAATGTTCATCGTTTTGAAGTAAATGTAAGTGTTGACAGGCGTCACGATATGATTCGCACAATACGCCATTTACAGTTCTTAAACTGTGAAATGATGTGGGGCCACGCACAGTAATCAGCAGCAAACGTAAATAATAGCATTCAGCCATGTTTGGATGTACAGTGTATAATCGACCCAAGGCATCACTTGAAAATAACTGTGGGTGGCCAGTTACTGGTTTACCTTGTTTCCGACGTTCAAATGTTTTTCTGGTAGCATTCCACGTGAAATAACGTGGAACTTCTGAGTACAATAACGTTCCAGCAAAGTCATCAGTTTGGCACAATGCAAAAAAAGCAGTCAATGTTGTTGCTGGTGGTTGTGCTGCTCGCTCGAAAACATTTTCTGTGGTAAAATATACTCGTTGTCCATTTTCTAAATGAACAGCCAAATGTACCACAGTTGGATATCTTTCGTGAATTGGAAATGCAAATATGCGCCATATTGCTTCGTTGCTGCTGATATATCTGCCAAGCTGATATTGTCGGATTTCATCTAGATTATTTTCAGGTGCCACTCCGAAAATGGCCATGTCACTGCCTTTGTTGACATATTTACAAATATATTTGATGGACTTCACAGAATTACAATATTCTACATTTATATGTGCTTTATAGATTTTGGATAATAATGGCGAATATGGCACTATCCAACGATTATCAATCTCAACGTCATTGTTGCGTACTTTCACCATTATTGATTTACCATTGTCATGTGTTGAACGACGGCGATATAGTGGATATCCATCGTTACCTGTTATTGTTTCTGGAATGAATTGTTTTGGATATCGTTTAGAGCACTTGCCATCAATCATACATGGTGAATGTAAATTAAGAGCACCACATGGGCCATGTATCATATTCTTTGTAATTATTTGGAATAGTTCAGAATCAATTGCAGAATCCGGTATTTCAGCACAAATAATACCATCAACTTCGTTTGGTTGAATTTTATCCATACACCAAATGAGAATATGCGCATGTGGCAATCCTCTCTTCTGCCATTCAATTGAATACATCCAGCATCGAACTGAACCAAACACGTTGTACTTGACAATTAAACCCATTAATGATTTTAGTTTTTGCTTAAATACTCGTGCCGTGATGTCATGACGATCAGTGTGCGATTGTCCGGGCAACAAACATTGTTTAATTTCATTCCAGGTCGGATTGCAGGTAAATGTGATGAATAAATCCGGACGACCATAATGCCGAACGTATGACATTGCATCTTGTGCATATTCATGCATGTGACGTGGACTGCCTGTATAGGTCGATGGTAGAATTGTGATGCGACCAACGTTATTTGCATTTCCATCCGTATTAATTGCATCACGTAGATGAATGTATTCCTCCGATCTTAATTGTCGTTGGTTGAGTCGAATGAATAACAGCCGCTCTGTCTCTATTTTTGCGTACATGTCCACTACATATTGATGGAACAATTGCCGACACTTCAGAATATGATTGTCTCCATTCTCTCGAATCATTAATCTGTACGCATAATAATTCATGCAACTAATTTTTTTGGTTGTTTCCGTACCTGTAATAGTGTCATATAGTTAGATTATCTTTAAATTACTTACAAAACACATTACTTACCGGTTGTTGGATTTATCATTTTCAAATGAAAATGATATCCATCATCTCCCTGCCAAAACAGTATTGGATATTGAAGTGCGTCATAGGAACGATGTGTTTCAGAGACACGTTGCAATGTATCATTTCGCCGATGCAAAACAATATCCCTAGCTTCAAATTGATCACCACCAATGACAATTGCTATCTCATTTATTGTTGGTGCATTAAATCGTCTTGAATGTTCACCTCCAGGTGTTTTGTCAGCTCTTATAACTATTTTGTGATTGTCGGACGGCATTCGGTCTATTGCAGTTTTAAATAATTTTACCAATTGATTGTGCTGATCGAGTAAGATTTGTAATGACTCTACAATTTGACGGCGTATCCCAGAAGTAATGGCACATCTAGTGTTGACCTCATCATCCGAACTGCCAAGAAAATATATCTGTAGAAATTTGTGTTGTTCATCAGATATCGGCAATAATGAACCTACAGTGTGATATATTTGACCTTGCACTTTGAATGTTGGCATGAAGTGATCAGTAATTATTTTATCTGCACCAAATGACGTCATTTGGAAGCAACTGTTGTACTTCCGAATATTAGTGAGAAAATGTTTTGATTGAGAAGTAGTTCCAGATACTAATGTTAGTAACGGTTCCGGTGCTTGTTGTAAGGGTGTTAATTTTACTTGTCCATTAACGCAACACAACCCGGGCGCTTCCGTTTCGTATTTCAATGCTTGACAATGGGCACACACTTTATCCATATTACCAATATCAATGTTGCGATGCGAGTTATAATCAATTGTTGGATCATAGTCGAATGCAAGCCGTAGAAATGTCATTCGATTAGTGGCACGTGTTGCTGATCTTACTCGTCGATACGCAACACGTCGTTCTTCACTTCGCATTTGGCGTTGTTCTTGTGTAATGTTTTCACGGACGCGTGAATTGTGATTTCTAACTTGTTCATTTTCTGCTGCATGTTCCTCCTCTGTTCTTCGGGACCGTGCGTGACGGACGTAATTTATTTGTCGTGTACGGCGACCAATATCTGAACGTCGTCGCGGCATTGCGCTCGATTCAAACCAAATGTAATTAACAACCCGTACCGTACTCAGTACTAACCGTACTGCGAACCTCAGAACGGAGACCGTCTACCAGTTCTATTTTTAGAACGAATACGTACCCTTGAGATGGCAGTAATGTTTATAGGCAGGCGGTCGGGCGCACTTGAGACTGCCGTTGACGTTGACGTTATAAACTGTCACACTTCACCCCCGAACAATTTTTTAAGCTTTTACTTTACTTCGACATATCGGCATTCGGCAACAGTCCAGTGGTCCCGGTGCCTGGCGTTAGATCTCTGTTGTAATTAAAGTGAAAAATATTATAAAAAACGATGGACCGTTTTTGCAGTTATTGTGGGGCAAGGAGACAACTGGAGTTTGATCGTCCATTGGGTATGCATAATATAATAACATGTTACTATGTAATATCTATTATTACTCTTTACAGATCGCTGTAGCAAATGTGATAAATTCCCATTTATATTATCGCACGAAGTAAAGTCAGCGTCGGTATTGCGGTGTTCGGTGTGTACTGCTTATATCTGCGCGATAAACAGATATTGCGAAATATGTGGACATACGGTGGAAAACAGCAAACGGATAAGGGGCGAAAGAGCTGGACAAATGCAAATGGCAGGAAAAATTCAGGCGAAAAAAATGGAAGCTATCGAACGGAGAAAAAGACGAAAACTGGAAGCTGAGTGTTCATCGTTCAGTGCCTCAACCCCATCCACAATGACATCACTTTCGCCGTCAAAAAAGTCATCATCTAATCCGTTATCATTTTCATCCAACGATGATGAGGATGTAGACAATTTGTTGTCGCAAATACCGGATTCGGAATTGTCGCAAATACAGGATTCGCAAAAACCGGATTCGGAATTGTCGCAAATACAGGATTCGGAAGCAAACCCAGAGTGAATCTATAATATGTAATTATAATTAGGTAGGTGATTAGGTAATTAGGTAAGAGTGAATCAATAATATGTAATTATAATTAGGTAGCTGATTAGGTAATTAGGTTATCTTTATAATACATAAGTACATACTTTATACATTTCCATGTAATAAACAAAATAAACAATTTAAATTGAGTGTGTGGTGGTTTCAATTTTAAATCTTATACTCGAGACCCCACTTAGCAAACGAAATAGGTAAATCTTGTCACAGTTCTATTTTTAGAACGCAAACCGAAACAGATCTATTTTTAGCTATCGTGTAAACTTTGTTGCCTAGTGTTATTGAACACCTGCACTTGAGGTGATAGTACTGTTTGTCGTACAAACGTCAAATTCGAGATGTGCACGGCTCACAACTCCCATAGTACATATATAAATTTTTGTCGTAATCAGTGCAGCCGTTTTCGCGTTTTTAACTAACATACACCAACGTCTCTTTTATATATATAAAGAAGACGCATATATTTGTAGTTTGTCGATTTTACTATAGCACCCGGTATCATTTATAGCCAAAAAAAAAAATTTTTTTTTAATAGATGTGTCCGATAATGGATTCTCATCGAGCATATATCGGATACTAGTCTGAAAACATGCATTTTCAATGTAAAAATTAAATCGTTCAATATAACCCCGAAACCCGGCCTATATCGGACGTCACTTTTTTCAAAAAAATAGTATATTAAGATACAAGTGTATAATCAAGTCTTTAAAGCACGCGCAACGAGTTTAAGGGCACGACGCAAAGCGGAGTGCCTTTAACGTTGCAAGTGCTTTAAAGACTAATTATACACGTGTATCTTATAGTATTTTTTATTATACCTGCAGTATAATTTAAAAATAGGAAATACAATGAAGTCATGTTGACGTTATACTCGAATACATGTCTAATTAAGTGGGCTGGGTGTTCGTAATTTCACGATTGCTATGGAAATGTCACTTGACGTTTGATTATAAAAATCATCGTCTTTGTGAATTAAACGATTTCCGTTGAAAAAGATAATATTAAATCGCTTGTTGTAAAATCTAAACAAACGTTGGTAGGTGTAAAATCGAACTCCAGTAAAGCCTATTATAAAGAATATGAAAAGTTGTTTCCATGGATGAATAGGAAGTTACTTACGAATACAGTCTTAAATGCATCCATAATGCTGGCATATATGAAGGAAATGTCAAAGGTATTTAAATCTTCGGTGTACTTAAACTGCCGTTGAGCGGTCGTGTACTAAAATGCCGTTAGCAGATATGACGTCAATTATGTGACGCGTTTGACAGTACTAGCAGATTCGTCATCAAATTGACGGCATCTTATTATACTGCCGTTACAGCTGTTAGTGCATGTTACTTAATATACTATATTTGCCGAGAGCGTATTCAAAGTTAAAGTGGTTGTTGTTAATCATTGTTGGAACAACTTGTGCCAAATATGAACTAAATCTGATCTGTTGATATAGAATGAGGTAAGTGCTATAGTCCATACGTTTTCTAATTGCTCTTATCTACTTTTAGTTAAGTTAGGTTTAGATACCTATTATACATGCCAAGAATGTTAAAAGTTGGAGATAGATTTACCTCATTTGCGGATGCAAAAAAAGCCATCGCGGAACTTGGTGACAATACGTATACGACATTTTGGAAACGAGATGCACGTACTATTGCAAGTAGTAAAATTGCTAGACAAATAAAAAGTTCTTTAATATATTATCAACTTGTTTATGCATGCAATCATGGTGGAAGGAAATTCAAGAGCAGTGGTAAGAAAATTCGGCAGTCTTGGACATTTAAAGAAGATTGTCCTGTACATGTAAGATTCAAGGCATCATTAGATGGAAATGCATTAGAAGTAACGTCGATTCAAAGCCAGCACAATCATGACACATCTAAAGTAAGTACCTACATCTATAATTGGATTTTTAGGGTTTAACGATAATGGATTCGGATTGTAAATTACTATAGTTTCTTAGATGAAATGAACTTAATTTTCATAGTTGTCTATAGCAATTACATTAATCTATAATTTTGTGCATCCAGCCGTATAATTATTTTCCATTTTTTAGTGCAATTGTTTGAAATCGGTTCATTTCTTTTCTAAAGGTATTTGAATTTAATGGATAATTATGACTTTTCAGGTCTTATATGCACATACCCCTAGTCAAAGAAGGCTGTCTAGCAACATGAAGGAAAGTGTAAAAGATTATTTGAATATGAAAGCAAATAGAAAAATGATACAACAAAAATTGCAAGAAAGCACTGGTAAAATCATTACTTTGCAAGATTTAACAAATATAACCAAAAATGACCAATCCAAAACAGAAAATCTGGATAACTGCTTAAAAATACTCAAAACGAAATATGGTAACCTGGAGGATTTATTATTGTGGTAGTGTTAAATAATTATCTATTATTACTTTTAGGTGCCCATGCAGCTGTATTGCGAGACGTAGACAATAATTTTAGGGGTCTTTTTATTCAAACGCCAGCTATGAAAAGCACCATGAATGCATTTCCAGAATTTCTTGCAGTAGATGCAACATATAAATTACTTAAAATAGGATTACCCGTTTTTCTTATAATTGTAGAAGACGGTAATTGTCAAACTGAAATAGTGGGTGTGTGTATACTGGCATCAGAAGGTAGACAAAGTTTCACCTGGTTCTTAGAAACCTTTAAAAGTGAGAATCCAGCATGGATAAACGTGAAATGCATAATGACTGACAAGGACTTACATGAAAGAGAAGTAATTAAGAATTGTTTTCCTAATGTAAACCTTATAATATGCGTGTTCCACACATTGAAAATATTTTATCGTGAAATTTCGTGTCAAAAAATGGGAATTACTCCAAGTCAGCGTACACTTAGTTTAGAACTAATTCAGAAATTGGTCTACGCTAAGACAGATGATGACTACGAAAAATACATGCAAGGCTTAAAAGATAGTGTACCTCGAACAGTGTATGAGTATTTTATGAAAAACTGGCACAACACTAAAGATGAGTGGAATCTAGGGAAAAATTATTTTAAGAACAGTTTTTTAAATAACACAAATAACCGTCTGGAATCTATTAACGCTAAACTAAAGTCAGTTATAAACAAAAATAGTCCTTTGGAACATTTTATAAACAGCTTGTTTACAATTATTTCAAGTTTGGAGACAGAAAGGGATCATAAAGCAGTTTATGGTATTTTAAAAAAACCTGTCGACATGTTTCCCGAAGACTCAGATGAAAGAAAATATTTCAAACTGCTCACACGTGAAGCTTCAAAGCATGTTTTAAGAGAAATTCGTATTTCGGAACAAATCAGAAGTATTACTGTTTCTGCAGATGGTTATTACATCATTACTGATAGTCGGGGGTCCACAAAAACTACAGTTTCTTCGTGTAATTGTGTAATGTATGATGCAATGATTTTACCCTGCAAGCATATTTTTGCATTGAGGCGGCATTTACATGTAGAGCTTTTTGATAGAATGCTTGTAAACCACAGGTGGACCATGGATTATTATAAAGGCAAGCAGCGAACATTATAACGTCTTTGCTTGAAGACAATGAATCGACAGGATATCACTTGCCATGTACATCTAATGATAGCACTATATCTGTATCACTGACCACACAAGGGCATCAACCAATATATTCCTATGCACAAAGAAGAAAAAAATGTCTTCTGTTATGTACTGAACTTGCCGACTTAGCAGCACAACGTACGGGCATGTTATTTGAGCAAAGGCTTAATCTATTAAAAAATCTCAAAACATTGTGGGCTAATGATACTGCTGTTCTACTTACGCCTATAGACGTTAGAGACGAAAATGACCGGCAATTTATTGTTGAAAGTAATGATGAAGTAGTATTTGAAAATGAAAATTTTTCAGAGTTTTGTAACGAAGTGGTTATCCAAGACCTAAATATATTAGGTGACGTAAATCTCTCATCTCTGGGCCACACTGAAGTTATTGAGGAGGTCAATATGGAAGAATCAAATAAAGAAAATGAAGTTCCTGTTACCGCTGATATTAATGTACGTGACTGCAACAACCAATCCCAGCAAACTGTTCAAGTAAATGACATTAATTTGTCGACTATCAAAATGCCAGTTGCAATAAAGAAACGAGGACGCCCAAAAGGGCAAGACTTAACAGTAATAGGATTACCAAAACGAAGGAAAAGAAAACCCTTGTCGTTTTCAAAGAAATCATATCAGGAAAAACAGGATTTAATACTAAATTTCTTTGTTCAGAATGGTGATATTGTTAAAGATATTAAAAATGGTAAAATTCTTGAAGATTTAGATCTTAAATCGTTTCCAGAAGAAATATCTGATGCTGTATTAGATAATAGCGTTGACGTCCACTTGATGAAGTAAGTCTTGCTATAATCTATCTTATGCTTTAATTAATTTTAAACTGTGTTTTTTCAGAACCTTTTGCACAGACGAAGCCTTTAACAAGATCTTTAACCTAGTGGAACAAAAACGACTTAAGCAACACTGGTCTTGCTCTGTGTGTGGTGCAGGCAATCAAAACGACCAAACAGCAGTTTGTTGTAGTGGTTGCCTTCTGTGGAAACATATTCGTTGCTTAGGATTATCTAGGCGGCCTAAATCAAAACAGTGGTTTTGTAGAAATTGCTACTAAGAATTATGTATTTTTTGTGTTTGATACATTTTGTGTTTTTTTTTTCAATAAATCACAGTACGTTTGTAATGATTAAACAAAAATATTACGTTAATTTGCCTCAAGTGTTTGAATAATTGCCATAATTTGGAGCCACGGTAATATAAGAGGATGCCGTCAATTGATTACAAAACTGCTAAGATGACCTTAAAACAAACGGCAGCCAAAGCAAATACCGTCAAACGCGTCATATAAATGACGTCATATATGCTAACGGCATTTTAGTACACGACCGTTCAACGGCAGTTTAAGTACACCGTTAAATCTTTTATATTTTGGTGCATTCATTCAAAACTTTAAAGCAATGCTGCGATTAAAAAGTGGAACAGATTTGGAAGCATACCCTAAATTACGCGCGTTTGTGAAAGCTTCAACCAAAGGATAGATACAAAAGCCAAAGAAATGTTCTGCATTTACAGAAAGCGACCTAAGAGGAGTTTTTATTTCATCCAGATGACAGTTTCAAAAGTCATACTTGAAGTATCGTTACTTAGCAACTTTAAAGCACGTGTGTTTTAAAGGCCCTTTTTCGCACGCATTTGAGTGTTTAAAACGGAGATTGTGATTCAGGTATAATAAAAAATAATTTTCAACTAACCTATTTCTACGGTCCATATCCATACCTATGCATACATCAAACAGAGGTCTCGTATCATTAACAGGATCGAAAAACCTTCGCTTAAATAAGGAACTCAACCGTTTACTCAATTTTCATTTTTAATTTAATTAAAAATGATTCGATTTTGATGAAAATTTTATGAGAAGTTTTTGAGACGATTTCGCTTCGATTCTGAGAATTTGTGACCTGGGAAATTCTCCTGAGGGGCTGGGGAGCATCGTCGTCGAGGTGCGCGGGCGCGGTTAAAAATTCGCCGTAGCTATACGGTTAGGGTTAGGGCGTCGAGGCGCCGGCGCGGGGGGTAGGGATAGTTGGGGCAACTTTCGATGGGGTTAAGAAAATTCCTCCGGCGACCTACGGGGTAGCTGCCATAAGAAGCGAAAAAATCGAAAATTTTAGAAAAAAATTCGTAACTCGAAAACTTCGCCGGAACTTTTTTTCGCGCTTTCTGAGACGTCGGGCGACGCGGAGGAGCGTATTTGTGCCGGGGTGCGATTCAATTCTATAGCCCCGTTTGGGAACCGCGCGACCCGGAGGGTCGCTCTCGAAAAGGTGGTTTTTCGCATTTTCCAACTTTGACGCCTTCTACAGGCCGAACGGTTAGAGTTAGAGCAAAACGTACAATTGCGCGATTGTAGATCTCGACGAGATCTACGAGACGAGGGGTCGCGGGTCGCTCTACCACCCCCCGGAGGGGGGTGAGAGGTAAAAAACCGGAGATTTTGAATAGCGCGTTCCGGCGAAGAGATACGGGGTCGAAATCGGCTTCGATACCTGCGGGCAAGTTTTCTCCTTCTTTTTCCGTTTACAGCGACGAGGTAACTCGGACGACGGCGCCGTGGTAAATTTTCTCCCGAAGGTCTGCAAAAGTCACGTGACCGCTTCGTTTTGTTTTTCGCCTACATTAAGCGCCGAAGATTGCCGAACGCACCTTACTGCCTTTTTAATTAATTGCGAGCTTAATTTTGTACGGAGAATTTCGGTAGAGGTCTCAAAAATTCGAGAAAACTACGAGGAACGTGTTTAATCGGTTTCGGAACGGTGCGTGATCGATTTGTGTTCGAAATTAAGTGATAAAGTTTACGTGTCGGTTAACTGTCAAACGGATTCCGTCAAGTTTTAAAAGTGTTTTTTAAAGGAAATTATAGTTATTTATGGTATAAGTGTGTTATATTACAAATAAGTCACGCGAGAAAAAAGTTAGCCCACGAGGCCGTCAGGCCGAGTGGGGTTATTTTCTCAAGTGACTTATTTGTAATTAACACACGTGCACCATACAAAACTTTATCCAACACCTCCTCAAGCTGGTTTAAAACGTGGAAATCTTAAAAACTGCGTGTTCCGCGAAAAGCTAGAGTGCATGGAATACAAAAGCAATAATTCGTTGCTATGGGGAATAATAAACAACAAAAAATTTAGTCAGAAAATTTATATGGATTTACTTATGGTTCCTGTACTTTATCTTGCTAGTGAGTTATTTTACGTCCATAACTCATTAGTGGGTTATATTATACCTTACTCGTTTAATTTCGTCATGATAATGACTGGATAACATAGAGGTGTTGGATAAACGTATTAAAATGATCGGTAAGTATTTGAAATTGATTATGATAAAGTTTAAAAGTGCTTCGAATAAGTGTGGAGTAAATAAAGTGTGTTTAAATAATTTGCTAATTTACGTATTCTCGTCGTACTTATAGTGGTTTAAAAGAAGTGATAATGAAAGTCCCGGTAGCTTAGCGGTAAGCAGTTAGGACTTGGAATTTGAAGATCGCGCGTTCGAGCGCGTGCCCGTTTTTTTTTCTTTTATGTGACAAGTTTTTTTTGTATTAATTATAATTATAATGTTGCAATGGAAAAGTTGCTGCTGAAGATTTAATTTATACGTAGGGAATTGCATTTTGGCCATATCTTGAAATTTGAAGCCGTTAGAAAGGTTTTTAGGTTAAAGTTTTCGTAGACGCGTAAGTTTTTCGATTATAATTTTTTTAAGAGACTTGCCAGACGGGTACGTTCAATGGGGAATATTTAGCTCGAATTATTAGCTATCGTACGCACCGCTCTGGAAATTTTTTTGTAAAAAAAAACCGTTAGGTCGCGTGTTTACCAATTTTCTTTTATAATTTTTAAACGTTTTCACTTAGGTACAATAGGAAAAAGTTAGCCTATTTACTTCTCTATTGGAGACGCCCGATCGGAAGGCGATGGGGATTGGAACTAATCCCTTGACGAGGGGTTATTTCGTTATAGGAGATAATGCGGACGAAATTTTTTGAAAATTTGTAAATACGATCGTTTGTCCAATAATTTTATTGAAAATGTAGAGATTTTGTGCAAGTTTTTTGACATTTTCAAATTCGAAGAGATTCTGAATTGTTGAATAGAGTGGATTTACCGTTTACCTATCTTTACCTATAAATAAAACACTAATTACCTGATGTCTATAATTGCGCTTAAAATTTTCTCGTCACAAAGCGGGCCTTAGATAAAGAAAAAAAATATTAAGATGCACTTCCTTATCGACGTGAATACGTGTCAAAAAAAATTGAAGAGATAATTTAGCGGTAAAGAACACGTGCTCTTGTAACTGTGCACAATCATTAGATATTGTATTTCTTCACAAATGCCGCCGCCGCCGCTTCGGCATCATTTGAGATAATGTTGAGATAAACACCTGTAGATATTACAAGTATTTAAAGGGTGAAATGTTATTTTTTCGAGTTAGTTCAAGTGCAGGTTTCAAACCATAAAGATCGTAAAGCTCGAAACCCATTAGCAACACCCCACGCCACGCCACGCTACACGACGCCACTCGACGTCAACAGACGTGTTTATTCTGTGTACACATATTTACCACGCTACGCCACAAAACCACCGTGTACATTTAACATTTTGTAGTATCTGTCTATCTACCGTCAAGTGCGGACGTGATGGAGTGCGTTAGTGGTTCTTCGTCTGACGAATGGGAAGAAGAGTTGGAGGAATGTGCTGCTGCAGTAGTTGCATTAAAAAAAAACAGGAGGCGGTTTTGGGTTCACGATGTAAATAAACAGCGTCCAAAATACGGTGCGTTTCACTCTCTGATAAAGGAGTTGGAACTTGATAGAAATCAAAATCGCTACCATATGTATTTTCGAATGTACAAAGAGCAATTTGATTATCTACATGACTTGTCGTTAAATCACTGCAAATGTCTTGCAGCAAATGTACACAAACACAACTGGTGACTGTTGCGGGAACTCGGACGTAAGGGGAACGGGTCAACACGCTTGTTTACGCGTCGAGCAAGTCTGGACATCCAGACCCAGTACACGTCCTCTCTCGTGGTGTCGCGTGGCGTTGCGTCGCGTGGAACGAGTGTGTACACGTTACATGTAAAGTAATGATTATCTTCTGCACACACATTTGTTGCGTAGTGTCGTGTAGCGTGGCGTGGTGTGGGGTGTTGCTAGTGGGTTTCGGGCTTAAGTATACTTAACACTACCGATTTGCATTTTTATATTTCAAAATTCGTTTTTCTGAATTTGTTGTAATTAATAAAGTAGGTATATAATTTAATCAATGGTAAACCTGATCTTCTAGGAATAGACCACTTACACTTTTTTAGTTCCTTCTTTTAGAGCTAGGCGGTTCGTGTCGCACTTTGGTATAATATCAGCTGTTTTCTGTGGTTGTTGTATGGGAACAGAATAAACTTAACTGATTTTAAAAGAAAATGAACATTTCCGATTTAAAATCTGCCTTAAAGCAGTTAGGTGCCAAAACATCTGGATCGAAGCAGCAGTTGGAAAAGCGGTAAGTGTTGTTATATTCTGAATAAAGATTTTTTTAATTTCCTAACCTATTATTCTACTTTTAGATTAAGTACATGGAAAGAACATGGACTTGAGAAAACCTTATTCGAAGTAGATTTAATGAAATGTGTACCGAGCGAGGAATTCCCAACGAGTGCTTTGTTTAAACCGTTGAACACTTATTCCGGAACTGCATTGATAAGCTACGATGCAATTCATAAATGGTTTTCGGATCGACGAGCGCTTAAAGGAATGCAGAAAGGCCGCATATTAGCGATCAAGTTATTCATTAAATATAGTAAAACATATATTGATGGGAACAAGTATTATTTACAATGTAAGTGCTGTGCGGAACAAAGGAAAACTTTCGAATACAATGTCAAAATAAAAGTTGTACAACATCAGTCGACATTTGAAATTGCTCAGTGTCAGTGTACATGCCCTGCTGGAACGGGATGGTCGGCGGCATGCAAACATATTGGTGCATTCTGCTTTTCGTTGGAATACTTTTCGATTTCAGGTAAATTACGACACATTTGTAATGGATAAGGAAGCATTAAAAAGTTCATTTTAGGAAACACACAAGAATATGTCTCTTGCACTTCACAACCGATGGAATGGAACAAACCAATTGTCGGCAGGGGTATTGATGTAATGTCAATCTTTGAAATAACAGGGCGGCAAAGAAACAGTTATACTATTCGTGAATCTGACCCTTTAGTGAATAATTTAATTAATAACAATATTAGTTGTCCCCTGACAAATAAACGAAAAGCAAATTTGGAAGGTTACACAAATGATCATTTCGGATTAGTACATATGGGTAGGTATTTAATTAATATTTTCAAATATGTTTACAGGAGAATTTATTAAATATAAGCAAACTTTTTGAAGGAATATGTGATGCCCTCATCATAGAATAATTCGAGGGGTTTTCCTCCCTAAAAAATGATGTATACAGATTCAAATGGAGGTTAGCCCCTCGGAATAATATTTGGTTTTGCCTTTTGCATTTGCTAATTTATGGTTAAGTAACGCAGGTGCAAAATCCACCGAAGATGATCAACAGACTTCACCTACTGCATCTGTAAAAGCCTTGCCTGCATCAAATACTGACACATACGACTTTTCTTTTATAAATGCATTAAAACAACGACTGTATTCCAATTTACAATTGCAAGTACCGCTGCCGCTAGTAAACTTGACACAGTCTGAAGCAATATATTATAAAGAAAATGTTGTTGTGTCTGTAGACGGTGCGTTAGATATAGCTATGGCTACTGTCCACCAAAACAATACCTTATGGAGAATGCATCGAAAGCGACGTATAACAGCAAGTAGATGTTACGAATTATTTACTTACTGTAACAATGCAAACCCTAACTGGCCAAGGAAGATAGATAGTTTGATTAATTCTACATTTACAGGAAATGCAGCTACTGATTATGGTAACAGTTGTGAATCCCTTGCTAGACAAGTGTATCAATGCCAATATGGGCAAGTGCATTCCACAGGATTGCTAATTAATCCCTCCATTCCTTGGCTTGGATTTAGTCCTGATGGCCTAAAAATGCACAGCGGAGTTATTTATAAACTAATTGAGATAAAATGCCCTGTTCTGGGGAAGACCTCTGGTGTGGAAGGTTTTATATCAGAGTTACCATATCTCAAATATGACAATCAACAACTTTTCCCATATTGCCTTAATACGAATCATAAGTACTATGGTCAAGTGCAATTAGCAATGTTTTTGTTAAACATTGAATTGTGTGACTTTGTCATCTTTAGTTCTTTTGATAATAGTATATTTGTAATTGAAGTAGAAAGAGATGATGTATTCCTTCAAGCTCTAATCACAAAGTTGCATTACGTTTATTTCAGGTATTACTTAAAAATGTTATCTAGTTAATAGATTTTACCATTAATGATTTTACCGTTGGTATTGTAAATTAAGATTAGATATGTACATTATATATTTTATATTACTTAATGTTAGTGGTGTTACTTTGAATATTACAATATAGTTTAAGATGTGAAATGAGTTACATTATGATGCAAACTATTGCTTACTTCCTGTAATTAAAGTATCATGAACGATAGATGGTTTGAAGTTAATAAACATCATGTAGTTATATACAATTTCATTTGTTATATGCCATAAATGTCTTGGTATACGATCACTTAGGATTTTATTTTTTTTCCTCGCTCCTATTAAATTTTCAATAATTATGCGACGATTAGCAATGGCCCTGGTTTTAAAGATTTCTTCTTCCGTTAACTGCGCTCCTTTCTTGAATGGGGGGATATTTAAATGGACATGCCTTTCTTCCAAAAGATCTGATATGTCAAATCCTCGGTCAGCCAAAACGTAATCTGCTTCCTTCAAAAGATCAAGTATGCCCGATATATGTGATATTTTGCGATCAGTAATAGAACCCCCATACACATCTGACACAAAGGAAATTTCTCCATTTTCCGTTCCACCAATCAGTACCTTGAAAGTATTTGTTCCATAGTAACTAGAGTATGTAGCTTGTTGTATTAGAGGATCACCACTGCGTTCGATTCTAAATTCCGTACAATCCAAGACTATCGTGTACTGGCCGTGCTTACACGTTTTTAAATCCCAGAAGTTGATTTGTCTAAAGTTTGTGTATAGGTGTTTTGTCCACTTTTCTACTATGGATTTTATTATTCGAATATCTGTGTCAAAAAGGGCAGCTAACGTCGTATAATGTAAGTTCAGTCTGTATTTCATTAGCGTGATTAAGAGCTCGTCTTCATTGGTAAATAACGAATGTGTTTTTGTGTATGAATTGCCAAAATATTGACAAAAAAAAATAAACAATTTTCTGGAAAATCCCGTCATGTGTTTCATTTGAGCCTCATCTATGAAACTTGCGGATATTAATTGGGATCGCTTAAGACTAATGATCGTTTGAATTTGCGCATGATGTGTGCCACTTCTTTCCACTTCAACTTGTTCTTCTACATCTTCTGCGATAATGTCAACTATTTCATTGTCACGATTGACATTATGTTTGTCATTGTCGGTTACAATCTTTTGAGTATGCCTTGACAAATATCTTTCACTTCTTGCAGTAGAATCACGTTTCTCTAGATGATGAGAGCTCCTTGGCAAATTTTGTGATGGAATTGCACTTTTCTTAAGTATTTTCCATTGACCTGTGTTCAAAGTTTAAATAAATTGTGATAAGGAATACAAATACCACCTAAACTAGTCACAACGTAGTCATCATTTCGAAAATGTTTCTCACACACCTTTGCATGCTTTGAGGGCTGTTTTCCTGATTTGATCGCATTTAACCAAGATCGTTTTTCTTTTGCCTCTCTCGGAAACGAATGAAATTTATATTGTGTCGTCTTGGTGGTGGAATTACAGTTGTACACTGAACAATTGTAAGGCATTTTTTAGTATTCTTATGGAGAAATACATAAGAATAAAGTGAGGTTATGTTTTAATACCAAAACTCGCCTTCAGCGACCTCTATTTGTAAGTGGTCTATTATGTTAACATATTTTTTTTGTATTTTTCAGAACATACAATGTCTGTCGTGTCAGGTAATACATAATTGTAATTGTAAAAAATAAAATAGCTAATACTTTCGTAAGGTAAACCGGGGTAAATGTAGAAAAGGGGCAAATGTATTAGCTCAACGGCTTTCATACGTGATTAGTCGAAACCTTTCAATTTCATTTTAAACGAGGGCCTCCCACTCTCGAGGATCCCCCCAAATCGGTCAAACTCGCCGACCATCGCTTTAGTCACGTTCAGTCGCGGTTGACGTAATCGTATTCGTTTTACCTGCACATTAAGTTCAACACGTGGTCTTTATTTCGTCGCCAAATCCATAGTCTGAATGTAAGAATTAAAAATTATTATAAATTAGGCTATTTATTTGTTGCTTTTTCGTACAAGTTTATAAAGATTTTATCTGCTTTATCAGTTTTTAAATTTTTGTTTACAACACATTTACCCCGTAAAAATAAAGGATCGGGGTAAATGTAATATATCAAAATCACATTTACCCCTTAAGCTCTTACATTTGCCCCTTTCTTTTTTTCAGGTAAGATGGTTAGATATTATAAGAAAAAGGGAACGAAAGATCCCAAATATCTCTTTGAAAATTTAGAGCTAGCAATAAGGGAATGTCAAGCGGGACATATGACCATATATAAGGCCTCTACAACATATAACATACCATACAGTACTATATACAGTCGCGTAAAAAATCTTCGAGGGGCCAAGAAAAACTGTAAAGGTCGATTAACTGCTTTAACGAGCAAACAAGAAGATGAATTGGCCGCAGGGTTGACTACTTTGGAAAAATGGGGATTTGGTCTTTCCAAAAAGGAAGTTCTGGAACAAGTAGCATTCTTTGTTAAAGAGTGTAAGCTGAAAACTCCTTTTAAAGATGGGATACCCGGAGATGACTGGTTCGCAGGCTTTAAAAAAAGGCACAATCTGAGCATTAAGGTACCCCAGTCGGTAGAGTATGCTAGAAAAAAAGCTACCGATCCATTTATTATTTATAATTACTTTCGTATTTTAAAAGAAACGCTCGAAGAGCTTGATCTAGAAAATAAGCCCGCACAAATATGGAACCTAGATGAGAGTAGCTTTTCAATCGACCCTAGTAAAACAAAAGTGGTTGGTAAACGTGGGAAACCCTGTTCGAGAGTAACAAGTACGCCCGGCCGAGAAAATACAACAGTTTGCTTTTTGGCAAGTGCTGCAGGAGAAAAGGCACCCCCCTTAATCATTTTTAAAGGTGTCAATATATGGGACCAGTGGCAAGCTCCTGATAATGTATTCCCAGGAATGTCGTATGCTGCCAGTAAAAAGGGTTGGATGGACGCCGAAATCTTTTTAAATTATTTTAAACGTACCGTTATTCCAGCATTAGGTCCAGAAAGACCTCAACTCATTGTGTATGATGGACATAAAACGCATGTCACCACGGCCATAGTAAATTTGGCAAATGAACAAAATATAACTATTATTAAGTTGCCACCTCATACAACTCACCTGCTTCAGCCACTGGACCTGTCAGTATTTAAATCAATAAAAGATGCATGGGACATGAAGCTCGTAAAATGGCAAAGACATAATGTTGGCCGGCGACTACCAAAAGATATGTTTTCCAAATTTATTGCAGAAACTTGGTCAGATGCTAAGGCTACCGTCATTGTAAATGGGTTTAAAAAAGGCGGTATTTTTCCTTTTAACGACAAAGTGGTCCCTAGAGAGAAATTTGATAGTGAAGCTCTAAGAAGATGGGAAATTCAAAATTCAGCAGATCCTTTAATCGACTCAAATATCCCTCAAGATGTTCTCTTGAATACTAACACAGCGGAGAACACCACTGCCGTAGTTGAGAAGAGCAATTCCACAGATGCTACAAATACTAACCGTACAGCTTTAAACTTGCCAACTACGAGCACTTCATTTGAATCTCTTTTACTAAAATGTGTAACTCAGAATAAGCCACCAACGAAGTTTCCAAAAAAAAAATTGGCTCCTGGTGCTGAAGTAATAACTGCGCCAAAAAAAATGCTCTCGGAGACATTACCAATATTAACAAGATAGAAAAGAGAACAAAAAAAATGTCGACCTCTTCTAGCGAATCAGGTGATCTTTCATACCAAGACTCAGATAATTCAGATGAGTTTTTCACTGAATTATTGGAAAATGCAGTTATTGACAGTTATGAAGAATCTCAAAATTTAGACATTAACAAGTGGGTTTTGGTTCAGTTTGCAACAAAGAAACAAATTAAGCACTTTGTAGGAAAAATAACTGAGAAACTACAGTATGATGAATGGCTTATCAACTTTTTACGATACAGAAAGAACAAATTCATTTGGCCAGATGTTGAAGATGTATCAGTAGTTGAAAGTTCCAATATAATAAAAATTCTTCCTGAACCAAAAGAGACTAGACGAGGCGCTGGACTAACGTTTACAGTTCAATTTCAAGGTTTCAACCTCAATTAAACTTTTTTTTTTAATAAATTCGTTATTTTGTTTTATATTTTTATGTTTAACATATTTATGTTTCATTTTCTTGCCCATTTCTTTTATATCTAGGAATTTATTTTGGTTGATTTTATGTTCAAATTATATTTAAATATTTAAAACCTTGTATTAAGTTTATTTCTTAATAAAAAATTGAGTTATAAATACCAAATTACATAAAATTTTACATCTTTTTACAATAACCCCATACAACATAACCAATGATATATAGTGAGTACGTATAGCCCATTATCACATTTTCCCCGGACCCATGGGGCAAATGTATTATAGTGGCATTGTTTTAAAAAAAAATAAAAAAACCCAAGAAGATAAGTATTGATAATTATTTTATTAATGAAAAATGGTAAATGGGATTATAAAGATTAAGCATAAATAATTTCAGATTTTTAAAAATTAAAATATGGTTACAAGATTCGCCCAAAAATCAACTGTTCTAATTTTACGATACAATTACCCCGGTTTACCTTATATTTCTTTTAGAAAATGAAATTAGAGTTGCCGTCCATCGGGACGCCGAAAACGTCGGCGACGTCCCAAAGACGGATGTGTAAGTTAACGACAGAATCAAATTTATATTACACAAGCATTTCTATTTATACACGTGTTTCTTACAATTTTTCTTTCTGTAGAACTCAGAACCGTACTGAAAATCGGAGGGGACGTGGACGTGGGCGGGGACGTGGGCGAGGACGGGGACGTGGGCGAGGACGCGAACGAGAACCTAGGCCACGAAGAGAACATCGTGGTCGTCGAGGAAGACAAGAAGCAAAAGTAAGATTTAAAAAAAATAAATTTTAAATTCACTAACACGTCAGCAGAAGCAGGTAGTTATAAGATTGATTGATTGTTTCTGTAAAATGTAAATTCAAAAATTTCAGAGAGATACAAAAAAAGTAATTTATTTCTATTTTAGAAGACCATCAGCCCACCGGCTCCACCGACACCGGCTCCGCCAGCATCGGCGCGTCAAGATGCCCCCTCACAAGGGGGCAATACATTCACATTTCATTTCAATTATTACTTTAAATAAATAAACATACATAAATTATATAACGTGTTGAGATTTTATCCCGATCGGTCTCGTACAGGCCACATAAACTGAACCATCAAATCTAAAAAAATTATTAGTACCATATCCTAGTCCTTATTTCATTTACATTTAAATTTAAAATGTGTTACAAAAAAGATGCAATTCTATCCGTTAAAACACCTCTCGATTCACCGTTGATCTCAGTTCGTCAAACATGTTTGAGAACGGAGCAATCTATGGTGGACAATTGGCACGTCGACTCAGTAATTCATTGACATATCCATAAGTCGAAGGGTGGAGTGCGACAGGTGTTTAGAGTTTAGACATACTGTTGACAGAACCACTTGCGAAATGTCAACTTACACCGCAAGCGTCACGTCACCTGCGGCAGGTAGATGGGTTATTGGTTCATATGGAACTGTCTACACGAAGATACTTTTCCATTAGCCTCCCGCTGCATTGAGAATACTATGCCAAAAAGACATATCACTACGAAACAACAGTTTAGAATGCTCAAAGTTTATGAAGTATATTTGACATGAATTCTTCCCTGTAAGTTTTCTAAGTGGTTAGTTTTAAATCGTACCACGTAACGAAATAATCAAGAGAATAAATAATTTTGCGATCGTTTCCAAACTTTGCTTTTTGTATTACCATGGGTACATTTTTATTTTACTATAATAATTATAAGTTAGGTATTAAATTTTTATAAAATTTGCCTTTAGACAGACAGTCCACAATTTGTCAAAGAAGATTTTATTTATATATAATATAATGTGTACTCACTTACCTGCGGTATTTGTTTTATGAAAGGGTGATACTATGAATTCTAGCTTTATCGCACGTCTGTGCCAGTTCACGGGGAATTAAATAGGTGGGAATTAATTCCGTGTTAGTTATACTCGAAATTAAATAGGAGGGGTTTAATTCCGTGTTACTTAACGCGGAATTAAATAGGAGGGAATTAATTCCGTGTTAGTTAACACAGAATTAAATAGGAGGGAATGAATTCGGTGTTAGTTAACACGGAATTAAATAGGTGGGAATTAATTCCGTGTTAGTTAACTCGGAATTAAATAAAAAGGAAATAATTCCGATTTAGTTAACTCGGAATTAATTTTGGGTCGATAAAAATTTAATAAGTGTCCCTTCTACGCGTTCGTAGTGTTGAATTTTGAAAGTGCTGAAACACAGTTCTGGGCGACGCGCAGGGTTTGGATTATGTTACAGACAGAAAGCGAACTCCTACGAAACTGCAAGGACTGCTTATTTATTTCGGTCTCAGTTTCCATTTACTAATATACCTACTTGTCATACTTCATACTCGCACTGACACACTTAATATAATACCTTACTTTGTTTGAAACTTCACCAAATCCTTTTATTTCCGATCGATTATTAAATTGAGCGAGACCAAATAATATATTACCATTAGTGTACACTGTACAGTGTCCGTGCAAAAAAGTGATGGAGAGCAGTTGAAAGCGACAATCGGGATGGGAGAGATTACAAGAAAGCAATCGCAAAAGACTTTTAGCTGCAGGTGAAAATAGTAAACAAAGGAAGCTAATTTGACAAATAAGAAATAATACTAAAAATTAATTAATAGTAGGGTGGGAAAATAATAAACTAAACAATTTTTCTGTAAAACGCCACATAATCGATGTGTATTGTAGACACCTCAGCAGTGACTGCAAAATCGCCCTCTTCGGCATCTTCGTCTACCTTTCAAACTTCTGATACGGTAACGGATTTAATTAATTTGAAAGATAATAATAGCAAAACACAACCTCAAGATACAAACACGGTAACCAACTCTGACGGTGACGTAAATATTAATTTTGCACTAGCACCAGCAATTAGTAAGTAAATTTAAAAATCAATTTAATATTAGTATAAAATCGTAAATCATTGCAGGTTTGACGGTGGATAAGGGTAATGACTATAGATCCCGTTGATAGTACTGATAGTAGTGCAAATTGTACCGATCAAAACACTGTCCTAAATGAAATGAAAATAGTCACTTATTTACTAAACCTTCGAATAATGCCACACTATCAGAAAAATTAAAATTTATGGAAGGTCATCGCATACAACCAAATTATCCGGAGCTTCCCTTTCATGCACAGAGAGAACAAATTGGTACTATTTACCCATATTGGGTAACTATTACCCTGTAGTAGATTTGTATTCTGCCTAACTTATATACACTTGGCTCGAAACTACTACAGTGTATAAGAATATGCTTTATAACAACTTGCTTTAAATAAAAGAAAGTATGTTGAAAGGTAACTATTACCTTATGCCACGAGATATTAAACTCTATCATTTACTTGAAGTAGTTTAGTTTTTGTCAGTTAACTTATCTGGTTTGATGTTAGTTCTATATGATTAATTCGAAATTTCAACATCTATCAAATAACTTTCAAAATTAAATGTAATACACTCCCATGGATTAATATACTTTGTATAAAAGCATGTTGTCTTTACCATATTAATAACTAAAAACTAGTTTACATTGTCCAACTATTAATATAATTATACTATTAACTAACGTATTAATGAATAACTGTAGAAGTTTGTAAACTAGTAATTACCTTTTGACCCCTAATGATTAGAATATAATTACTCGTCTGTTACTTTAATGGTAGCATATTATAGTTTTGGCTTGGAGGAGCGCAGATTTTAAAAAAAAGCAACCTTTTGTTAAATCTGTTTATTGAATATAGAAAATAAGAACTTCAATAAACAAAATATATAAAATGTAATACCTAACTATCTAAACTAAACATCTTTCGATACGTAACATTTCATGTACATTAAAATATTAACAAAAAGAAATAATAAAGTATAAAAATAACAACAAAAAATAACCAATGTTCTGAATGGAAATAATATATAATTAAAAATAGACAGCGTGTCTACGTAAGTTAGCGGCATATGGAAAGTAATATTAACTTTACGGAAAAAAGTTACTCTTTATAAAAAGTCCTGCATGGTCCAAAACCTAAACTGCAACAATCAGATATCAAATTTCATTAGTCGTATACGAGGTTTGTCAAAAATGTGGTTTTTTAGATACCTTACTCAGCAAAAATCACATTTTTTGACAAATTTCTTAAATACATTCCTCAGCGGAACTACCTGACTTTCACATTTTTTAAAACCTAAAACAGTATCTTCACCTTCTTTACTATTGTCCACAATTTCCTCTATAATAAATGACTGGGGCTTAATAAGGTATTCATTATTCTCCAAAAATTTCATTCTTCGGTGTTCTGATAAAAACTGTTCAAAGGGATTGCTGTCAAAAATCCGTAACACCTCACTAATATCGTTTTTGTCAGAAAACTTTTTTTCAAAATGCTTTTGCAGGAAATAGAATAGTCGTTAAAAATTTCGTGAGAATATTCTATGACGTCTTGCACTACCTTTCGTGTTACGGAGGTATTATTATACAGTTGTGATATGAATCGTAAAATGCTTAATTCTATAAAATCATTGGATTCACTGCTGGAATCAATCGTAAAACGATTCAGTTCAAAGTGATCTTCAGAAGGAGTAGGTATATCTAAAGTTTGAGTTTCATTTTGAGAGGAAGTTTCATTTATTGTTGCAGGCACACGGGCATATGTGTGCACATAATTTTGAGCATGACTTTTTTGAAAATGTTTATCCAAGGTGTAAATAACGGAAAAAGTGCGAGAGCAAATGCAGCAGGGATAATTTTGTTCTAGCCGGTGGAAATATTTGCATAATTAATTTTTTTGTGACAGATTTTGCAAATTACGGACATGATCTGGTAGGTTTGAACAAATTTTGAACAAGTATCTCGTTATTTTTTTGTGAATTTATCCCTTCAGTTCCAACTGGCATTTATTCACCAGATCTAGAATTGAAGGAATAATATGGTCTGATTGGGACTCTATTTTATACACAGCTCTTTGTAAAAAAAGCCAAACATGTTCGTTTTCTGGAGGAAATTTTAAAACTAACACCATATATACTTTAAAACATAAATCTATACCTTTGCTTAATGTTGGCACCTTGTAAATAATCTCGTTAATAACCACGTAAACGCGCTTTACTTCTATGTCCCTTATTTCAACTATTAAATATGGTTGTGTGGCTGAAGCATTTTTTTCATTTCTTTCGGTAGTGCTTGCAATCACACCTTCAATATCTTGTGAAGTCTGAAAATTTTAGGTTAACTCTTTTTAAGTTAGTAATAATTACCTTACCTCAATTCGAATTAAAATTGAACTTCGTATTTCTTCTAAAGTTGGTTTCCACTGTTTTCTTTTTGAAATCTTTTTTGACTTGCAGGGAATTAGTGACGCTAGTAGATTAATTTTAGTGTATAGCTTATATTCTGAAAAGAAAAGAAATATAAATAAATGCAACATGGTAAAAGTTGTCAATCATTAGTTACCTTCATTAGTGTTAGAGTTATTAGCTATATCCAATAACAAAAGGTCATGTTGTGTTAGGAAACTTTTCCTTATTTTCATGAGCGTATCA